ACCGTCAATGATACACACATGCACTTCAGTCAGCCGTTGATTGTTCGTCAACTGGAGAAAATGGTCAGGTCCGTGCGCCAGTGGTCTACCCTTTGCATGCGGCTGCCAGACACTCGCACATTCAATGTTTGCAGGTATCAATCAAGATTTTTGCGCAAGATCTCTTCTCTTACTGCTTAGATAGCTTCCTGCTTAGAGAGAATGTTTTAGATACTTCGATTGGGTGGCTTTGACATTGACTTTGTCACTGATGAAGGCTCAGCTTTGCACGTTGCCGCAATGTTTGGACAAGTGGAAGCGGTGAAATATCTTACCAATGAAGGTAAGGTTTCATAGATGATTGAACGCCTCTAAGTTTCCTAGGAAAGGGGACAGAGGTGAGGGTCTTCCATGAACTAGGGCTCTTTGTTAATTTGACTTCACTCCAAGTAGGGTTTTTTGAGTGTGAGTGGGACCCTGAAGCGTCTCATCCTGCTGTAATCTTTCTCTGCTTCAGCTTTTTCGTTTCATACTTTCCAGCCGCTCTTAAGCTCAAAGAAGCGAATCTAGAAAACGTCTAAAGATTAAAAGAGAATCTCATTTGTAGCTATTCTTGGCTATGATATGAAAATTTCCTATTTGTACGTTTCCGCTTTGTTGACAAAATCAGTCAAAAGAAGATATAAACTAATAGGATCGCAAGTATTATAACTGATGTCATCTGAACCGGCTCAGTTCTAAGCAATTTTTCTATGCACAGTTTTGCGAGGGTCAGGAGAGAATTTTCTTTTTTGTCTCGCTGACATAAATTCTGTGGCATTGAAAATCCATGTCAAAAGCACTCATGTCGCAGAAATGTTTGCTGTTGGTCTGCCAATCCTAAAAATGTCGAAAATCTTTTTAGCTACACTTTTCTCTTCAATCATTGGTGCACAAAATTCAGGCACGCATCTATAAACCGCAGAGGAAAAATACGCAATCACGTGTTGAAAGTTAATGGAGCAAAATAAGCGCGAAGATAAAGTTGGGAAAACCGTAAACTCACAACGTAATGAATGATCAACAGGGAGCGTTTTCCTTTCTTAAAGTGTGCAAACAGACCATATACACCGAGTCCGACTTTTCAAAATCTAACAGGGTCACTGGTATATGTGCACATCATATTTTCTTGATGATTCTTGATTCATCCTCCATGTACCATATCTGCTAAAATGTACATCTACCCAGGAATCAATCCCCACGTTCGCGACAGCAAGGGTCGAACCGCCCTAGAACTTTTGCGAGAGCACGAACAACACCGTATCTCGGATTTGACGCATATCATCCAAAGTCGCGAAGGCTGGAGTGAATGTCGACAAATAATCGAAGGTGCGAGGAGTAGCCTACAATTTTGCAACTTCAGCTCCTTATTATAGGGTATGTAAAACGGCTAGAGTCTGATCATTTCAATTCGTCTAGTGATTCGGGTATAGACCGAAGGGATTCAGAGAGAAGTGTGGTCGATGACGACGCTGGGTGCGATGTGTGGCGACCCTTACCATCCAGTGCTTTGGGTAGGCCTATGCTAAGTATATTCATCAAGTAAAAGTTGGTGATGCTGAATTGCATTGCCGTATTCATTACAATATCATACCTACCAGGGCTCGGCACGAGCTGGCACCAGGAAAATTTTAAA